AGCTTCTGATCTTGGTACATACACCTTACATGTGGCAAAAGATCATTCCTATATGAAGTTGAGACAGGGAGGAAGGAAAGGAGAGGAAAGACTTGCAGGTGACAAATAAGCATTTGAACACATGTTCCACATCACAGGTTATCAGGGTACTGCAAATTAAAACAAAAATGAGGGGGAGCGCCCGGGTGGCTCAGTCTGTTAGGTGTGTGCCTTCAGCTCAGGTCCTGATCCCAGAGTCCTGGGACCAAGCCCCAGGACCCAACCCCTGCTCACTAGGGAGCCTGCTTCTCCCTCTCCCTCTACCTGCAGCTCCTACTTGTGTGCTGTCCCTCTGGCTCTCTCTCTCTCTCTCTCTCTGTCAAATAAATTAATAAAATCTTAAAACAAACAAAACCCAACAAGGTGGGGTGCCTGGGTGGCTCAGTCGGTTGGGCGACGGACTGATTTCAGTCATGATCTCAAGGTCATGAGATTGAGTCCCGTGTGGGGCTTCGGTCTCAATGGGGAGTCTACTGAAGATTCTCTCTCTCTCTTCCTCCCCGGTCCACTCACGCACGCGCTCTCTAAAATAAACAAATCTTAAAAAAGAAAAAAAAAAAAAAAAACAGACCAACAACACTTATTGGAATGGCTCAAATCCAAACACCGGCAACATCAAATGCCGGGGAGGATATGCAGCAACAAGAACATTCATTCACTGCTAATGGGAAAGCAAAACAGTACAACCATTTAGGAAAACAGTTTGGAACTTTCTTTCAAAACTAAATATGCTCTTACCATACGATACAGCAATTATGCTTCTTGGTATTTACCCAAATGATTTGAACACATGTCCACACAAAAAGCTGCACATGAACATGGCAGCTTTATGTGTAGCTGCCAGTATTTTAAAGCAACCAAGAGATCCTTCGATATATACACAAACACACTGCGTTGTGATCCCCCCCTCCATTTATATGCCATGCCCCCCAGGTGACTGCAGCCAGAGACAGGGTGATCTTTAGGAGGTAAACAAGATTAAATGACAATGTAAGATTGGGGCCCTATATTACGCTAAGCGAAGTAAGTCAGAAAAAGACAATTATAAGATCTCTCTGATGTGAGAAATTTGATGGGGAGAGTAGAGGGGGGCCGTGGGGAGTAGGGAGGAAAAAAATGAAACAAAATGGGATCCAGAGGGAGATAATCCATGAGAGACTCTTAATCTCAGGAAACAAACTGAGGCTCGCCGGGGGTGGGGGAGCACGGATAGGGTGGCTGGGTGATGGACATTGGGGAGGGTATGTGCTATGGTGAGTGCTGTGAAATGTGTAAGCCTGATGATTCAAGACCTGTACCCCTGGGGCAAATAATACATTATATGTTAATTAAAAAAGAAAAAAGAGTGGGGCCCTAATCAGATAGGACTGCGGCCTTACAGGAGGAGGGACAGAGATACCCTTCCCCACCCCCTTCTCCTTTCCTCCTCTCTCTCCCTTCACTCCTCTCCCCTCTCTTCCACCTCTCATGCCTCTGCCTTGTGAAGACACAGTGAAAAGGCAGCCGGCCACAAGTCAGGAAGAGAGCCTTCACCAGAACTTAGACCATGCTGGCACCTGATCTCAGACTTCTAGCCTTCAGAACTGTCAGAAAATAAATTTCTGTTGTTTAAACCACCCAGTCCACGGTAATTTGTTATGGCAGGCTGAGAGACTAATACACTGTAGTACATCCATACAACGGAACAATATGCAGTGCTTTTAAAAAAAAAAAAAAAAGCCATCAAGCCATGAAAAATCATCGACGGATCTTAAATGCATGTTGCTAAGTGGAAAAAGCTACCTACTGTATGATTCCAACTATATGACATTCTGGAAAAGGCAAAACTAGGCAGACTAGGTAGAGGGCCTAGGAGGAGAGAGGGAGGGATGAACAGGTACAGCACAGGGGATTTTTTAGATACAAGAAACTATTCTGTGAGATACTGTATATACATGATGTTAGGTATCTGTCAAAACCCACAAAATGTTCAACACAGAAGGAATCTTAACATAAACTATGGACTTTAGTTAATCATATTGGATCAATAATGGTTCAACTGTAACAATTCACTACATTAATGCAAGATGTTACCAATAAGGAAAATGGCAAGAGGGTATAAATAGAACTCTATGTACTGTCTGCTCCATTATTCTGTAAATCTAAAACTGTACTAAAAAGAAACTTATTAAGTATTAAAAATAATTATATGAAATTCAGGGGGCGCCTGCCTGCCTTAGCCGGCAGACCTTGCGACTCTTGATCTCAGGCTTCTGAGTTCAAGCCCCACATTGAAAGTAGAAATGACTTAAAAATAAGTAAAAAAAATCTTAAAACAGAATAAAATAATTAGATGAAATTCAGAGTTCAGTGTCATAAATAAGGTAGTATGGAACACAGTCATACTCATCTCCATGTTCAGCTGACACTGCCTATGGCTGCTTCTGCACCGTAACAGCAGAGGCGAGTAGCTGCAACAGAGACCAGAGAACCACAAAGCCTAAAAAACTTACTATCCGGACCTCTACAGAAAATGTTTGAAGACCACTGCTCTAAATGTCACGACCCAAGTTAGAGGGGAAAAGCCCCTCCCACCATAGGCTGTTCTGAGCTAATCACTTTATTTAATTATTCAAAATTATGAGAGTGACAAGTACTAATTACATACTCTAAATTTTTAAATATCACTGGCCACCTTCTAATATTAAAAAAAAAAAAAAATCAGGGGCGTCTGGGTGGCTCAGTAGGTTAAGGATCTGCGTGGGGCTCAGCCATGATCCCCAGGGTACTGGGACGGAGCTCCACATCAGGCTTCCTGCTCTACAGGAGCCTGCTTCTCCCTCTCCCTTCTCCCTCTCCCTGCCACTCCCCTGCTTGTACTCTCTCTCTCTATTAAATAAATAAATAAAATCTTTAAAAAAAAAATCAGATAAATCAGTGACGTCTTTGGATACTCAAAATGGCAATTCCCAGAAAATGAATCCATATTCTACTGAAAAACAGCAGCAGACAGTAGTGTTTCACTTTAGTGCCTGTGAAATCGATCCTACTTACTGACTACCTAACAAATCAGAATTAAAGTGTGCAACCAGAAGACTGTCAACAGTCTGAAAAGAGAAGCCTGAAAAACAATGGGAAATGAACACATTCAGGGAGGAGCAGGGCAGGATACCTGAGTTAACTCAGTGAAATGACTACAAAGAACTGAATGCTCTGTCAAGGAACATTAGGACTACACGTCAATTTATGCATCAATTTATCGGTTAATCAGGAAAATGCAGCCTGAGTATCAAAAGACAAAATAATGCTTCAAGAAAGTGCCCCACAGTTGCAGTTTAAGAAATATCATGAGGAGCGCCTGGTGGCTCAGTGGGTTAAAGCCTCTGCCTTTGGCTCAGGTCATGGTCCCAGGGTTCTGGGATCGAGCCTCGAGTTGGGCTCTCGGCTCGGCAGGGAGCCTGCTTCTTCCTCTCTCTCTCTGCCTGTTTCTCTGCCTGCTTGTGATCTCTGTCTGTCGAATAAATAAATAAAATCTTAAAAAAAAAAAAGAAATATCATGAAAATGTAAGAGCTGACTAGCTGAGAAAAAAACCGTAACCACCTGACACTTTAAAGTAGATTTATTAATAACTGGGGGGGGGGGTGTCTTGGGAAGAATCACATCTGCAGAAATAGTTAAGGAAAGCATTACGGAATAATGACTAAGAGCACAGGCTCTGGAGGTAGACAAACTGGTTCTGATCCTGCCTGTGCCCCTCACAGGCTAGAAGACTGACCACTCTCCCTCAGCCTCAGTTTTCTCATCTGTAAATTAGTAATAACTTCTTGCGCTGTTGAGAGGATTAAAGAAGATAATGCATGTAGAAGCTCTGCAGCACACCTGACACAAATGAAGTCCTAGATAAAGGGTAATCACCATTACCACTATAGTGGCACAGGAAAACACACTTGAAATTGACAGTCTACAGTCTTTCCAACAACTGCTAGGAAATCCACCAAGAACTGAAATAAATTTCTCGTGTCACATAATTTTAGAAAAGTTCTGTCCTTAGAAAGTCAAACGAGGACTTCAGGTCAATAAATAGGATTGAGATTGCACTTTGCTTCTCAGAATGGTGGTCCAAGGGGGAAAGCTGAGCATCAGTCTGGGTCATCCCGCCAAGTTCCAAAGTAGGTGAATGGCATAGGCTCAACTACAGGGCCCACTCGACCTACGCAATCCCAAATTCTCACTGAAGCTCGAGACCAGCATTAGTATTACGTCCCAAAACAAAGAGAAGAATGAAAGGTTCCTCTAAACACCTAGATGAGGAAGTTTCCCCACTCTGATTCCCACTGCATTGCCTTCCACTCTTCCTGACCATAAAGCCAAACAAAAATACACGAGGCAAAATTAAAAACAACAACAACAACAACAACTAGAGCTGCCTCTGGAAGGCAGTAAGGATTACATCAGTTTTCAAGTGTTAGGTCTAGGTAGTCGGGGGCCCAAGATCTGGTGCTTTGGTTCTCTGCCAAAATGGACATCAGCCTGGACCAACAGTGGCAGCTGCGACACGAAGATCACTGTATACACTCCCATTCTCTCCCACGAACACACTCCCGACAGGCACACTTCACGGCAATCACCGCCCACATCCCACACCGACAAAACAGCTTAGAGCCTTCGGGTGGTCACGAAGTCCTCCTGCCCTCTGCTTCTTACCTACGCCCTTTCCAGCCCCACACAATGATCATCTCGTACTTTTCCAGCGGAAACGCTGAAAAACGATAATAATTCCAATCGGGCAACATTTCACGCTCGCTGTTACCCGGGCAGAAACCGACGGGTTCGGCGAGACCCTTCCAGGGAGGACCGCGGGCGCAAGCGACAGGCGAGCCCCGGCTCCCGGGGCAGAGTTCGCCCGCACCTGCCTCCACAAGGGCGCGTCAGGAGGAAGAACCCCACGGCCGGCAGCGGCACGTTCGCAGCTGCCACTCACCCCAATCCTCCTCGGCTCGGTGAGAGAGGCCCGGGCTGAGAGGCGACTCCATGGTGCCGGCAACGCCAGCCGACTCCCGCAAGCCCCACGCTCCGGCGGCCTGGAGCTCGGTGACTGATATCCCGTACGGCGGCGCCCGGCGGACAAAATACCGCCCACCGCGCTGCCGACGGTGGCCGAGGGAGGACACAGTGCCTCGACCGTCCGGGCACTTGGGCGGATCAGAAAGGAGGAGCGTGAGACACGGAGGAGCTCGTTTAAACAAATGTCCGAGTAAATACTTCCCTGTAGGACTTTTCGGCACTTTCTGTCCCGCTGGTTTAAGGAAAAAAAGAGAGAGAGAGAGAGAAAGACAGAAAAGCACTACATTGGTTAAATAGAATGTACTGATAATATTAAAAAAAGAAAAGTAAGAGCCCTTTCTGAACATGCGGATATCTTAATACCACAGCGTAGCTCTCGCACAACAAAATCAGAGCCCGAGAAAGTGAATTCGATTTAATTTTCAGAATCGCTCGCTATCCATGTAAAAACTTCCCGTACACACGAGCGTGTGGAAGAAAAGCTCGCGTGCCGCGCTCGTCAGACGCCCGTCTTCGCAAGCACCGCGCCTGAGGTAAACTCCAGGACCGCGCACTGTGTCGTTCTAGAAAGCCCGCTTTTATTTAAACAGATTTAAGCGAGGCGAATATAAACGATGAAACTCCCCGGGCTCAGACCGATCTCCTAGATTTGCGTTTCTAAATCGTAGCGGGTGGAAATCCGGGCGAGCGTACCCCAGGCAACCTACAATAAGGAAATTCCCGATCTCTTTGTTACTAAAACTTAAGATTCCGTTTTGTTTAGAAGAAATTCACATCACGAGCTCCGACTGAAAATCTGAACCGAGTTTGACACAACAGCGTCCAGACCGCTGTGTGACAGCCTTTCTCTTCGCGGCTTTTCAGCGGCGAGCGTGTCAAATGCCCTGAGAACACGTATCGCTTTAGGACCAAGCGGAGTCTTTCCCATAGTTACTGAACCAAACTAGCGCTTCCCAGAATCCACCCAAGTCCTCGTGGCTGGAGGTTTACTCCCGATTGCATAATCCGCAGTGGTCCGTGCCGCCCTCGGACCCAGAGCCAGAAAAACAAAACAAAACAAAACAAAACAAAAGCCCGCAGGCTCTCTTTTACCGTCAGGTAGCTAACCAGTTTTCAGGTCCGGTGAAGTATGCATCAGTTCTGCTCTTAACTGCAAATCCAAAACTGACAAACTAAGATAGAACCAGCGAGAGTCTTCTTTCCGTATCCACCAGGTACCTCAGTGCTTTTTTTAAATCACCATGACTGAACTCCTGCCAGTTTTGATTTTTTTAATTTTTGAAAGTTGTATTTTTATTCCCAAAGTGCAGTTAATGAAACAAGCATTTGCACACCTATCACCAAAAATTAACAAATATTAACGTTTTCCATTTTTGTTTCAGGTTTTTCATAATATAAGAAATGAAACAGTGCAGATAAGACCCAAGTCTGCTTTTCCCCCTGTTTAATTTCCCTCCCTCCACATAGATGGCTTCTATGACGCACGCTGAGTGTTGGGTTGGGTTTTTAAATTTACATAAATGTGTCATCCTCATGTTCTCCAAATCACTTTTCTTATCCAACATTACTTTTTGGTGATCTATTCATGTTTTAACTGTTACACGGTATTTCCTTGAAAAAAAAAATATATATATATATAGATCACAATTTCTTCTTTCATTTCCCTACTAATGGACATTTGGATTGTTTCAAATTTTTACCATTACATATGCCTTTGTATGAGTCTCTGTGCATATAAGCAAGAATGTCTTTAAGATATATGCTGGGTCATAGAATAGGAATCTTAATATTTGCCAGATTATACCATTTTACATCCTTGCTAGCAGCGATGAGTTCTTTGCTCCACATTCTGACCAACACTAGATTCGGTCACTTTCACATTTTTTGCCCCTGTGAAGAGTGTGACCATAATTTACATTTCCCTGACAATTAAGGAGATGGTGCATCTTTTCGGGTTTATTAAACCTTACTTACTCTTCTGTGAATCGTCTATTCTTACAAAATTTGCTATCGCATTTTCTTTCTCTGATGATACCCACATCTTTAGCTAGCATATATCTTCATTTAACAGATACATATATTGCAAATACATTCTCCCAAGTTGCACTTGTCTTTTTTAAGGGGTTTGTCTTTTAGGTTTTAATTTCAATGCAGTCAAATTTACCGGTCTTCTGTTTATGATCTGTGGCATTTGTAACTTGTTAAAACTCCTTCCCTCTCCTGAGGTCATAGAGATTTTTTTATTTTCCTTGAATATTTTTATAGTTCTGTTTTTCACATTCTTCCTCCCCTGCCCAATCTGGTTATTGCTTGGGTATAGTAACACTATTGATTTTTTTTTTAAGATTTTATTTATTTGACAGAGAGAGATCACAAGTGGGCGGAGAGGCAAGCAGAGAGAGAGAGGAGGAAGCAGGCTCCCCGCAGAGCAGAGAGCCCGATGTGGGACTCAATCCCAGGACCCTGAGATCATGACCTGAGCTGAAGGCAAAGGCTTAATCACTGAGCCACCCAGGTGCCCCCCAGTAACACTATTGATTTTTATACCACAATCTTGTATCCAAAAACTTGCTGAATTGTGTGACTGTAATATTTTGTCTGTAAATTCTATAGGATTTTCTATGTAGAAAAATTCGCGTGCAAACAGACATTTTAAAATTTATTTTAACACTGTAACCATTTTAAAATTAATATTTAATGTGGAAAATTTCAAACACACACAAGAGACAAACTAACCAATCCTCTTGTTCCTAGCACCCAACTTCAACAATTTGCCATTCTTGTTTTATCTACTTTCTCTCCCCACAACAATTTTATTTTTTGTTTTGGTTTGTTTTTTTTCCCCTGGAGTGTTTTTTAAACATCTTTAAAAATATTTTCTTTATCTGTTTATTTATTTAGAAAAAGAGAGCATAAGCCGGGGGAGGAGCAGAAGGAGAGGGATACGAGAATTTCCAGTGCTCTCCACTAAGGGTGGAGCCGGACGCAGGGCTGGATCCCACCACCCTCAGATCATGACCTGAGCTGAAATCAAGAGCTGGACACAGAACCGACTGAGCCACCCAGGCACCCCACCCCCTGGAGTATTTTAAAGCAAATCCCAGGTATCATGTTATTTCACCTAAAAATACTTCAATATGTATCCTGACAAAGATTTTTCCAATTTTTTAAAAACATAGCTACAATACCATTATGATATCCACCAAAAATAATTCCTTAATATCATCTCATACCCATTCCACACTCAATTTTCTCCCCAAAATGCCTTTCTACAGCTGGTTTGCTCAAATCAGGATCATCGGGGTGCATATGGTTCATGGGACAGTCCCCTCTTCCCCTTGTCACCCTATGCCCTTTGTTAAAGGATCTGTCATTTGTGCTGTAGAATTTCCTACTGCTCAGGGTCTTCATGGTGATTTGTTCCTGTAAACTGCCAGTTAAATGTAAACTTGACTAGATGGTTTTTGTTTCGTTTGTTTTCACAGGAACATTTCTTACGAACTTCCTTGCATCATACAAGGAGGCACCTAATTTCTAAATATCCCACTTTTAGAGATGTCAACACCGATCAGTGATTTCTGTTTTTTTTCCTAAGGCTTAAACCTTTTCCCCTTCTTATTTTATTGCAATAGCAAGGACCTCTGGTACCACACTGAAGGTAGATGCACAAGTATACATCTTTTACCTTGTTCCCAATTTTAATGTGAAAGTTTTTAAAAGTTTCACTATTGATAAGATTTTTCCTGTAGTATTTCAGTGCAAGGAAAATTTCATTTTTCATCCAGAAATTCGCTGTGGTTGTTGTAGTTTTTATACACACTCTGGTCATATACTCCGTCCATTCTGGTTACTGTGTGTGTGTGTGTGTGTGTGTGTGTTTAATGATAAATGTCAAATGTTATTGAATCTTCTTTCTTTATTACCTTGCTTTCAACTTAAACCCTTGGAAGCGAAGTGAAATTTGAAAGAGAGTTTTGCCTAGAGACATAAAGGAGGCCCTTGACTAGATCCACACTTCAGAGGACTCGACTCTGGCATCTGGCAGTGTCTCTTCCCACAGGGTGAGAATCCATGGTGCCAAGGGGATATGCCCAACCAGAACACATGCCTCCTTCTAGATATGCCTCTCATGCCTGAATAGCTCCATGCCTGTTTCTAAAGTTTGCTCAGGCCTCTGACTTCCCAAGGGCGAACTGTGCCAATGCCATATGCCAGGAGTACAAGACTAAGTTCAGAAATGTGAGGTGGGAATTTCACGTATGCATATGCACCAGGCATGTGGATGAACCCCAGGGTGGGGAAAGGGGCCGACTGCAGGTTGCTCTGCAGGTTGGGAGCCAACTACATTGTCATATTGTCAGGAACTCCATAAAGTCAGAGAATTTTAAACTCAAACCTTGTCTCCCAGATTTTCATGAAGTTATGTTTGTCAAGATAAGAGAATGACACATTTTATTTCATAGTTTGGTAGCTGGATTTATAACTTTCAAGTACTAAGACAAGTAGCATCTAGGCCTCAATTTGCAGAATTCTGCAAGTGCTAGGGGGGCACCTGACCAGTATATTTACAACTTGGTTAAAAATTGCATTTCACCAGTACTTTTATATTTCACAATCTCACATTTTGAGTATGACATCTTTTCTATCGCCCTAAACAGGGAACTCAAACCTAGAATACAGAGTTGAAAGCTCAGATTTTGGAATAAGCCAAATCTTGATTCTAATCTAGGTTCAACCATTTGCCAGCAATAGGACTTTGATGAAGTAGCTTAATCTTTCTAAGCCTCAGTTTCCCCAGTAAAATGGGAATAATGGGATCTATCCCACATAGGATTGTGGGATTGGATAAAACACATTAAATGGGGGCACCTGGGTGGCTCAGAGGGTTAAAGCCTCTGCCTTCGGCTCAGGTCATGATCCCAAAGTCCTGGGATCGATCCCCGCATCGGGCTCTGCTTGGAGGGGAAACTGTTTCCCTTCCTCTCTCTCTGCCTGCCTTTCTGCTTACTTGTGATCTCTGTCAAATAAATAAATAAAATCTTAAAAAAAACAACAACAACACATTAAATGCACAGTGACTAGCACATGGTAAATTCTCAATAAATTGCAGCTATTTTAAGGAAACGTGTTGAATGCTACTAGCTAGGTACTGTTTTACGTTCTGTACCTGCATTGTATCATTAAAATCCCCACAACTGCCCGGACTGGATATAATTATTATCTCCCTTTTATACAAGTGTTTTATTTAAGGCTTATATAAATGACCTTTAAAACAACCCTACTAAAAGTGCAGGGCAGTAGAACATACATTACTCCCTTTTCATGAAGGAGATGCCTGACCCTCAGCTTGCAGAAGACCTTCCAGGCAGCTAGAGACAGGTGGGGCCGGAAGGATCCGAGCCAGGGCAGACTTGTACTTCAGTACTATCTTAACTGCACCTGAAACACCATCTATGAAACAAAGTTCATATCACTCTTTTGGACAAATGTGTAAACCCATTTCTTGAAAATTGATGTTCTTAAATATTAAAAAGGGTTCCACTTGTTTGTTTTTTAAGATTTTGTTTCTTCTTCATAATGGATTTTCTATTTACCATTTATATTTACTATTTACCAAGTAAAATATTAATGGAGTTTAAATTGGGAATTGTTACTTAGTGAGTGTTTCACAAAATTTCAAAATTTACGTAAAGAAAAGTCAATTTCCCCAAACTCGTTTTCCACTGTCAAATACCAATTATCTTTCAAAAAAGGAATCTTGTCAGAGTACCTGGGTGGCTCAGTCAGTTAAGCATCCATCCGCCTTCCGCTCAGGTCATGATCCCAGGGTCCTGGGATTGAGCCCACATGGGCCTCCCTGCTCAGCAGAGTCTGCTTCTACCGCTGCCCTTCACCACCCCCGCCCCCCACGTGCCTGTGCACACGTGC